CCTTGCCACTAACTTTCTGCGTTGAGCTTGGACAAATCGCTTAATAGCTCTGTTGGTTCCATGCCTACTTAGTATTTTCTGTAGCTGCCCTGCCCACTCATAAGGCTTTCGGAAGGTGAGACAAGGTCCCGTGGTGTCATGTTCCTGAGGTGCTTTCCTCCACCAAGCGCAGGGGCTGGTTCACCCGTTTCCCCGTGTCACGGACTCTGCTGTTTGCGTGTCTTCGTCCATCCCTCGAGTGTCCTTCCCATGTGTCTCTCTTTCCTGGAGGTTAAGGCTGAGGTCACTCCTCCTGTAGAAGGCCTTTCCACTGACCAGTTCCCATTGATCTTGCCTTTCCTTCTTGAATTTTTTTTTTTCCTTTGTTATCAGTCCATCGGGACTGCCAAATTGCCAATGCCGATATTGCAAGTCGTCATGGCGGGGTATTGGAAAAGTTTTCAATTAGCAAACAATCACACCTTGGATAACCTCATTGACTTGGACACTGCCACTGCGCCAAGCTGCCCTTCTGGAGTTCCATGGCGACCAGCTGTCGGTGCTTGACTCAGGACGTGAGCCACGTGGTCTCACGAATCTCGCTTTTACCGGCGATCTTGGTCCCAAGGACATGGCTGGGTCCTCACCTTCAGCCTGGAGTAGGAGCTTGACTGGACTTGGAGAATGACTGAGCCATTTGTGTGCCGGCCAGTTGGCATTCCAAGAACTCAGGCCTAGGGGTTTCTGGCTTCCATATCCAGGACCCGCCTCTCCTCAGGACGGCCAAGATGGCCAGCAGGCGCAGTCTTCCTCAGTTATGCCTTGGAGCTCATGCTCACTCACAGATATAAAAGAAGCACATCAATAACACCGGTGGTATTTTTTCGTAGAGAGAGATCTGCGGTGACTTCTGTCTCCTTCTTATTCCTTCCTTCCTTCCTCGCTCCTTCCTCCTCTTCCTCTTCCTTCCTTCTTCTCCTCTCTCCCTCTCCCTCCTCCCCTCTCCTTCCTTCCTCCCTTTCTCCCTCCCTCCTCCTCTCTCCTCCTTCCTCTCTTTCCCTCTCTCCTCCCTCCTCCTCCTCTCTCCTCCTCCCTCCTTCCTTCCTTCTTCTCCTTCCCTCCTTCCTCTCTTCCTTCCTTCTTCTCCTCCTTCCTTCTCTCCTTCCTCCTTCTCTCCTTCTTCCCTCCCTCCTCCTCCTCCTTTCTTCTTCCTTCCCTTCCCTCCCTTCTCTTCTTTCTCCCTCCCTCCTTCCTTCCTTCCTTCTTTTTTTCGAGTCTCACTCTGTTGCCGGCTAACAGTGGCCGTGGCGTCCAGGCCTGCTCACAGTAACCTATCAAACTCACATGGGCTCAAGCATCCTTCTGCCTCAAGCCTCCCGGGTAGCTGGACTACAGGCATGTGCCACCTGCTCGAGCTACTTTTTCTATATATTTTAGTTGGCCAATTAATTTCTTTCTTACTTTTTAGTGAACATGGGGGTCTCCCCCTTGCTCAAGGCTGGTTTCGAACTCCTGACCTTGACTGATCCACCTGCTCGGCCTTCCAGGAAGTGCTAGATTACAGGTGTGAGCACTCTGCCCAGCCCCCCCCTTCTTTTTTTTGAGAAGGTCTATGCTCGTGTTGCCAGGCTAGAGTGCCCCTGGCATCCAGCCTAGCTCCCTGCACTTAAACTCCTGGCTCAAGAGATCTCCTGCTGGTTCCTGAGTACCTGGGCTACAGGTGTCGCCACCCCATGCCTGGCTACAGTTTTTCTATTTGTAGTAGAGATGCGGGTCTCACTCTTACATAGGCTGGTCTTGAACTCCTGATCTCAGATCCTCACCTCAGGTCTCCCAGACTGCTTAGGGATTACACGTGTGAACCCACCCGGCCTATTTTCTTCTTTTATAGTTTCAACAAATATTCAATCAATGTAACAAAAGAGAATTTTTGGCTGGATGCGGTGGCTCCACCTGTAGTCTAGCCTCTAAGAGGCTGGCGGGTGGTCCTCAAGGCTCAGGAGTTCGAACCAGTCTGAGCAGAGCGGAGACCTGTCTTACTTAAATTAGAAAGAAATTAATTGAAACTAAAATATATAGAAAATTAGCCGGCGCTGGTGCACATGCCTGTAGTCCCAGCTACTCGGGAGGCTGAGGCAGGAGGATTGCTTTGAAGCCAGGAGTTTGAGGTTGCTGTAGCGAGGCTGAGCCACAGCCTCACTCTAGCCTGGGAACAAAGTGAGACTCTGTCTCAAAAAAAAAAAAAGAAAAGAACATTTTTTATTGGTACAAAGATTATGCATGTTGCAAAATAAACAGTACAGAAAACAAAGAAAGCAAAAATTACTCCAAATTCTACCCACCAGGGACAACTTTCATCAACTTGTGAGTGAACATTATTTTAGCTTCTCTTTATGCAATATCTATATACATTTAAATTTTATTTCTATTTTCCTTATTTCTTTTTTTCATGTAACAAAGACATTTGTACATAATATACATTTTTATGAGGTACAGAATAATACTATCTTTAAATAGAGGGAAAAAAAAAATTTTTGTTATTGCTCTCTAATTCAATAATTTGAAAAATTACCCAGCCTGCAGACTGTGAGCTAAATAACTCCTTTCTTTTATAAGTAAAAAAAAATTTAACCAACTAATATATATAGAAAAAATTAGCCGGGCATGGTGGTGCATGCCTGTAGTCCCAGCTACTCGGGAGGCTGAGGCAGGAGGATTGTTTGATGCTTGAGCCCAGGAGTTTGAGGTTGCGGCACTCACTCTAGCCTGGGCAGCAAAGCAAGACTCTGTCTCAAAAAAAAAAAAAATTTAAAAAAAGTAATTCATATTCACTGTAGAAAATGTAGCTATATTCACCTACTTGTGAATGACTCTGCCCCTACCAAGAAATTGAAGGTGCTCAGTGAATTGCATTGTTCGAGTCTCGTTTCATGTTACTTTCGGCACATTCTCTGCACTCCCGGTATCAGCTACTCTCTGGTACTTCGCAGACGGTGCCCCTGTTTGTCCATTAGCCCTCAGAACGGTTCAGTGTGCTGAGTGCTTGTTGGCCTGTGCTCAGCTGTGTCCCAGGGCTGCCCTGAAGGACAGGGAATGTACAGGACTGCAGGCGGGTGGGGAGGGGAGACCACACAGGGTCCGGCTGCCCTTGAGGGGGAGAAGAGGACGGGGTAGGAGAGAGGTCACCAGGGACCTGGTGGTGAGGCCGCCCAGGATGGGACTATTAATAACCGGGAAGCTGCAGCCCAGGGCAGCGCTATGGGGCTCAACTCACCCTCGGCAGCCCAGACAAGTGGCTGGCGGTGTGGGGCCGCAGCTCAGCTCCGGGCCCAGCTCATCTTGGCTCCACCCACTCAGAGCCTGGAGCCACGTGGCCAGATGTCACCACCTGCGTGGATAGCCTTGAAGCAGGGACATTGCAAATTGGTGGCCTGTGTGTGCGGATGCGTTTTACCTGGCTCAGAGTGTTCTGTAAAAATTAGATTGTGAATATATTTCATCAATTCTACATTTTTTTCACATTTGGACATCTCTGAAACCAGGATGCATCTTAGAATCACTAGCAACTTACAGCCACAAGTGGCAGGGATTTTCCTTGCGTAGCAGCACATAAAATAATGTTGCGCCTCACAAACGATGGCATCTCTGATTTGTGGAATATAAGAGTTGCCAACTTTTTTTATGAATGAGGAAGTTTACGTTAAAATCCAGTTTCCTGTGGGAACTCGGAAGACCTGTGAGGTCAGGCGTTCCCATAGCAGGTTTCCGTGGGTGGTGGCTGGTGGCTGCCCCTTTAGGCGTGGCCCGAACCCCGCAGCCTGCCGCAGTCCCGCCCGGCCTGCCGCAGTCCCGCCCGGCCTGCTCCAGAGCGAGGGGAGGCTCCAAGCAGGATCCGCCTGCCCTGAAGTGTAGCTTCTCCCCGCCCAACCATCACGGATGTGACATGACTGATTTCCCTCCTGTGCAGATGCCCCTGGAGATTTGGTGCCCTCGGGGGAAGCGGGTGAGTGTCCAGCGCGGGGAGAGGGGCCATGGGTGTCAGTGTTGGCCCAGGTCTGGCCGTCCCCTCTCCCCGAGGGAGCCAGCGACCGCCAGGGTGCCTCGCTGGGCTCTGGCCCAGGCGCAGCAAGCAGGCGGTGGCCCTCACAAGGCAGGGAGTCGGACAGGGAAGAGGCAGGGGGTCCAGCCAGCCGTGCATGGATGGATGGCATGATCCCTAGGGCTTGAGAGTTGGACGGGGCATTTCTTTAGGTCACCTCTATGCTCCCCCTGGGTGGAGGCACAGCCCCAAGCTGGCCTGGACACTAATGTTGAGCTTCTCTTTTCCAGGACTGCGAAGGAGAGGCTCTGACTCAGCAAGCGGTGAATACGCGAGCAGTCGGGCTCGGGAGGGTCTGGATTCTAGGGGTGGGACGTGGCCACAGACGGCCTGAGAGGCTGGGTGGGTCCCAGCAGGGATGCCATCACCAGCCAGAGTGTCACGGTGCCTCGGGAAAGGGACCTCCAGTGCAGGGGAAATGGAATGGAAGGCAGGCTCGGGCTTGGGGGTCAGAGGAGGTCCCAAGGACAGCACCCCATCTTCATGGTTTTACTTAACCGGTCCCGCAGCGAGCACACTCGGACCCAGGAAGAAGCACCGAGTTCAATTCTTGGTGAGGCAGGGAAGAAAAGTCCCACCTGCTGTCCCGTGTCAAAGCTGAACACTTGTCTCTGTCTCATTCCTCAGGAGAAGTGGAGGCCTCTCAGCTAAGGAGGCTGAATATAAAGAAAGACGGTAAGGAAATCGGTGTTGCAGCGCTGCGTCCTCCTGTCTGGGCCAGGTGTCTGGGTGAAAGGCAGCCCGGGGCCTAGAACACAGTAATCACAGCCCACCTTGCCATGTGCTCTGCAGTTTGCAAAGTCCTCAGCCCAGAATCACCTGGAGAAGTGGGACAATGATTCCCATTTTATAGATATGGAAACTGAGGCTCAAAGTTGGGGCGTAGCCTTACAGCTTGCGAGTGGCACACCCTGGGCCCGAACCCTAGTCCTCTGCTCTTTCTGCTATAAGGGGAGACACTAGGATGATAAACGCCTTCCGGGCATTGTGAGCGCCGTGAGGTCAGATTAGACCAGACTCTGGGGAAGGAGCCGGGAGAGCTGAAGGCACCTCCTCTGCTCCAGCGCTGGGATCTCTGGGGACTTCAGGAGGAAGAGGAGGGCCAGTGGGGAGGCGATGGTTTTTGATGAAACAGATGGTAGTTGTTCTGGAAGCATCTTGAGCTATTGTAAAAGCCCGCCTTCAGAGAGTGGGAGACCTGGGGCCGAGCCCCCGCTCGCCCCGTCCAGCGGATGGCCCAGGGCCGCTGCTGAACTCTCCCGGGCTGTGGACCGCGGCTCGCTGGGCCAGAGCGCAGAGCCCGAGGCGCAGGCGTTGGCCAGGTTGCTTCAGGACGTGGCACTGCACCCAACGCAAGAATGCGATTGCCCCACTCTCGTCCTGTGGGCTGGGCCTCTGTCTGGAGCCCGCGCCTGGCCCTCGCTTGTCACCCCCCGGCCACGGGGCACAGGCCTGTCACGGGCCGGGCCTTCCCGGGCGGCGGGGCTGGCGAGAGCGTCACCGTCTGTTGTTGGCCTTGTATGGATTTTAAGTTAGGGGATCCTGGTTTTCCACTTACTGCTGGGACGTAAAGTTTCCTTTAAAGTAAATGTATTTCAGGAAAAGGAATCTATTTAAAGAAAAACGTGAAGTAAATACTAGTACAGACCATCCTTGGGTTAGCATGGACCTGTGCAGGTGGTGAGTCCGAGAAAAACTGAGCGAGCATGACCCTGAGGGCCCTCCCGGCTCCAGCCTTATTCCCAGTCCCTGCTCTGGCCTGGCCTCTTCTGCCTCCAGAGCGCCCCTCTTCCAGCAGCCGACTGCGGGCACCCTCCCTCCGCAGGCTGCGCCTGCGACCCCTGCCCGCGTGTCCCATGCCGCCACGCCCAAGGAGCAGGGCGCGTGCACCTGTGCACAGACACACACACACACAGACACACACACGTGTACTCACACACACAGACACACGTGTACTCACACACACAGACACACATGTGTACTCACAGAGACACACAGACACACACGTGTACTCACAGACACACACGTATACACAGTGTACTCAGACACACACACATACACGCATGTGTACTCACAGAGACACACACACACACACGTGTACTCACAGAGACACACACATACACACACGTCCTCACAGAGACATACACATGTACTCAAAGAGATACACACACATACACACAGACACACAGATACAGAGACACACACATACACACAGAAACACACATCCTCACAGAGATACATACAGAGACATACACATGTACTCAAAGAGATACACACACATACACACAGACACACAGATACAGAGACACACACACAGTGTACTCAGACACACACACATACACGCATGTGTACTCACAGAGACACACACATACACACACGTCCTCACAGAGACATACACATGTACTCACAAAGATACACACACATACACACAGACACACAGATACAGAGACACACACATACACACAGAAACACACATCCTCACAGAGATACATACAGAGACATACACATGTACTCACAGAGACACACACATACACACACACATACACACACACAGGGACACACACGTGTACTCACAGAGACATACACATATATACACACAGACACATGTCCTCACAGAGATACACACAGAGACACACATGTACTAAAGAGACACACATATGTACACGGAGACACATATGTACTCACACAGACATACAGAGATACACACATACTCACAGAGATACACATAGACACACACATGTACTCAGAGACACACACAGGTACTCACAGAGACACACACACATACACACAAAGACACACATGTACTCACAGAGATATACACACATACATACAGAGCCACACATGTACTCACAGAAACACACACAGAGACACACATATGTACTCACAGGGATATACACATACACACACAGAGAGACACATGTACTCACAGAAACACAAACAGAGACACACATATGTACTCACAGGGATATACACATACACACACAGAGACACACATGTACTCACAGAAACACACACAGAGACACATATGTACTCACAGGGATATACACATACACACAGAGACACACAGGTACTCACAGAAACACACACAGAGACACACATATGTACTCACAGGGATATACACATACACACAGAGACACACATGTACTCACAGAAACACACACAGAGACACACATATGTACTCACAGGTACTCACAGAAACACACACAGAGACACACATATGTACTCACAGGGATATACACATACACACACAGAGACACACAGGTACTCACAGAGATACACACAGAGACACACACACGTACTCACACAGACACACATATACACAGAGACATACATGTACTCACAGAGACACATATACATATACACAAAGACACATACATACTCACACAGACACACATACATACACACAGAGACACACACATATATACACAGACAGACACACAGATACATACGCACAGAGACACACACGTACTCACAGAGACACATACAGACACACACACATACTTACCGACAGAAACACACACATACAAACACACAGATATACACACACAGAGAGATGCAGACAGATACACAAACATACATATATGCACACTTACATACACACACAGACACACAGAGAGACTGGCACATCCGCAGACACATACACATACATACACACAGAGACACACGGACAGACACGCCTGCTCTCCTCTCACCCAAGTCCTCCTTCCTGTCTTTGAGGCTCAGCTCAAGCTCAGTCTTCGGCCGAGTCCTCCCAGACTGCCCTGGCCATGGCGACTCCCAAAGTCTATGACATCTTAACAACCCATACAATTCCACGGATGGTACATAATATTGTGCTTTCTGTTCTTCAACTGACGGACATTTGGGTTGTTTCTGATTTTTCATTTTCACACTGAGCTGTCCTCCCTCTAGGCCTCTATTTGATCTTGCATTGTGTTGCTATCTCCTTTTTTTTTAACTTATATTTTTAAAATATTTACTCACAAGACAACTGGAAAGCAAATCCAGGGAGAAATTCTCTGTTGGGAATTCATTTTGCATTTCTGAAAAACTGATGCGGAAGAGAAGAGGAAAACGTCTCTCTAATCCACTCGCCCCAGGCTTTCCCATCTCTGGAGGGACCTAGGCCCGACGCTTTCTTGCACCATGAGTCTGGTGCTGCATCATGTCCTTTTTTCTCTAAAGGGTAAACTGACTTCAGAGCCAAGAATGTTCTAGAAATACTAATTTTGTTTTTGCCCCAGAAGCAAAATCAAACAAAAACAGCCTCCACTCCTCTGCTCGCTTCCCTTCAAGATGCCCCTTGGCAGCGGCGAAGCCATCACCGTCATGCTGCCTGGCACCACCGAGGCAGCACTCTGCCAGCCAAGCGCCCGCCCATCCTCGTGGTGATGTGTGCCCCACGCTCCTCCTTTACCAAGGAGCACTCTGAGGCTCAGAGGGGGTAGGACACCTGTCCAACGCCTCACAGCACATTGGTGGCCAAACTGGACTGAACAAGGGCACATTCCCTGCAGCCTTGTTCCAGGAAACCGTCTTTTGCATCCCCTCTAATCACAGCTGCTTGACGGCGCTGAGGCCCCTGGGAAAGCAGGAAAGTCCTGCTCTCTCCCCTGGCCCTCTCCTGGCCTGACAAGTGCAGGGGGCTCTGGATTCCTGCCCGAGGCACAGGCCCTGCTCTCAGCTCCTCTCTAAGCCTCTGTTGAATTCTTAAACCCTCCCAGCCTGCAATGCCACTTCCAGGCACCGGCCCGCAGGAATAGGTGCACAAGTGCATGGAGATTCTTGGCTAATAATCTTGGTGCAGCATCGATGGGAATAGGAAAAAATAGAACACCTCTAGCTTCATCAATGGGGCTCTAGTTAAGTTAAATCAATTAGGATAAATATATATCACAGAACACTGCACAGCCATGAGAAAGGACAAGGCGGGTCTGTGTGCTCTGAGATGGAAGATGGCCTTGCTCTAGCAACGAGAGGGAAAAAGCAAATCAGTGCAGGAGGGATATAGATCATCCCATTTATGTTTTTAAAATGTGCATATATATGCCTGGAAAAACTTTCCCAATCACTGCCCACTTTTAAGGAGTGAGATTTGGGAGGAAGAATGAGGCAATGTGAAAGCTTTTTATTTATTTATTTTTTTGAGACAGAGTCTCTCTCTGTTGCCCGGGGTAGAGTGCTGTGGCATCAGCCTGGGCTCAAGCCATCCTCCTGCCTCAGCCTCCTGAGTAGCTGGGACTACAGGCATGTGCCATCATGCCTGGCTAAATATATATATATATTTTTTTTTCTTTTTTTTTTTTAGTTGTCCAGCTAATTTCTTTCTAATTTTTTAGTAGAGATGGGGTCTTGCTCTTGCTCAGGCTGGTCTCAAACTCCTGAGCTCAAATAATCTGCTTGCCTCGGCCTCCCAGAGTGTAAAAGTTTTGTTTGTTTGTTTGTTTGAGCCCGAATATGAGTCTGAGGTTGGGAAGAGTGTAAAAGTTTTAACTTTAAACTTGACACATTTGCATTTTTTATTATTGTATTTAACCTTCATCTGACAGATACAGCACTGAGCCCCTGTGTGTGCCCGTTGCTTCTCCAGTTGCTGGGGGTCCCACTGGGGACGGACCAACTAAAATCACTGCCCACCCCACAGCCACATCCTGGGTGGGGAGGGTAAACACAGAAATGAAAATAGAATCAGTTGACTCGTGACAAATGTTATGAAAATAATAAAGTGAGATAAATGGTGGTTTGTGGGGTGAGGTTTTAGCTTGGCTGGTCAGGAACAGCATCTCTGGATGCTGTTTTTTTTTCCTTCTTATATATATTTTTAATTTTATTGCTTTCTAAAAGTACTTCGTTTTCTTTCTTTCTTTTTCTTTTTCTTTTTTTATTTTTGAGACAGAGTCTCACTCTGTCACCCGGGCTAGAGTGCAGTGGCGTCAGCCTAGCTCACAGCAACCTCATACTCTGGGCTTAAGTGATCCTCCTGCCTCAGCTTCCTGAGTAGCTGGAACTACGGGCATGTGCCACCATGCCCGGCTAATTTTTCTATTTTTAGTAGAGACAGGGTCTCACTCTTGCTGAGGCTGGTCTCCAACTCCTGAGCTCGAGCAATCCTCCCACCTGGGCCTCCCAGAGTGCTAGGATTACAAGCGTGAGCCACCGCACCCAGCCGGCATCTCTGAATAAAGTTACATTTGAGCAGAGACTCAGTGTAATTTTAAAGAGAGAGAAAGAAACAAATAGCAATTCCCCCTCTGCCTTTACAGATGAGTTTTTCCATTTCGTCCTCCTGTGCTTTGCCATCGGGGCCTTGCTGGTGTGTTACCACTATTACTCAGGTGGGCTGGGCCTTGGGGAAGGGGAGGGGGTGGCATGGGGGGAGTTGTCCCGGCCCACAGGCCAACCGTCTGCTCCCCCTGCCCTTTCAGACTGGTTCATGTCCCTTGGGGTCGGCCTGCTCACCTTCGCCTCCCTGGAGACGGTCGGCATCTACTTCGGGCTGGGTAAGTCCCCTCGGCACACACGTGCACAAACGCCGCACACACGCACACGCACACTGTCTCAGAAGGGTGGGGGCTGGGCTGGCCATACTTGCTTGTCAAGGGCCAGAGAGTCACAACCTAAACATTTTTTTTTTAATTTCCTTATGCTCATGCTTTCTTCCTGACCACTTTTAAGGTCAATGTCAGGTCATTGGCAAACCCCAGTGGAAAAAAGTGGACAGGTCCATAAAAATACAACAAAAACTGTTTAAAGTGGCAAACAAGTCGGGCATGATGGCGCATGCCTATAGTCCCAGCTACTTGGGGGGCTGAGGAGGGAAGATTGCTCAAGCCCAAGGGTTTGAGCAATATAGCAAGATTACAATATAGCAAGACTATATTGCTAAATTACAAGACTACATCTCTAAAAAAAGTAAAAATAAAAATGTAAAGTCGCAAACAAATAGAATTAGCCAGATGCTGAAAACAAGTTAGTTAACGAAGTTGGGAACTGAATTTGCCCAGTGAATTTCCTGCCACCCTGCTCCCTGTTCACGGTGGTGGTTTTGGGCGACAGTAACTCTGGCACTGTTGCCCAAGCTCAAGCTGCTGCCTGCAGTTCCACTGCTAGCGCTTGGCGTGCGGGCGAGGCCGTGTCCAAGGCGGGCAGGTGGGCCTGACCCCACAGCCCTGGCGGGCACAAACCTGACTCACCTTTCTGTTTTTCGGGCAGTGTACCGCATCCACAGCGTCCTGCACGGCTTCATCCCCCTCTTCCAGAAGTTCAGGCTCCTGGGTAACTGTTAAATGCTTCCGTGTTCGCGGTCTCCCCCTGCGGCCTTCCGTCTGGAGAGAGGCTTTGGGTGTGGGGAAGGCACGGGGCCTGGAGGCAGAGGCCGGGTGGCCAGTTCGGCGACCCTGGGTGGGCCCCGCAGCCTCTTTTAGCTGCAGTTCCTCAGCTGGAAGATGGGTGTGGACTTCCTACGGCACAGGGTCTTCTGAAAACCAAGTGGGAGCAGGCGCCAAAGGCCTCCAGTGCAAAGCTAGGAAGGCGAGGGGTCTCCTCGTCCCCCACCGTCTCTCGGAGCTTCACGCCGCCCCAGACGCTATGGCCCCCGGGCGGTGCTTGCCTAATGGCCCCTGGGGAGGTGGGTTGGCCGTCTTACGCTGGCCTGAGGAGCAAGCTGCGGCTCAGAGAGGCGCAGTCATGCCGAGCGGCGGGGCTGGGCTGGCTCTGTGCCCTCCTCACACCTCACAACAGAGAGGCCAGGCAGCTGTGCGTCTCCCCTAACCCCTCACTTAATATCAGAGAGGTCGGTTACTATGACTGTGGGCCATGGAGCCCCGCGGCCTCTGGGATGACTGCCTCGGCCAGCTCCGCGGGTCATTGGGCACCTGGGGTGAGGGTGGGGACGAAGCCTGCTCCCTTCAGAATCCCATGCCGTCCTGCGGGCTTTGCCCTTTAGGGTTCAGGAAGACCGACTGAGGCCACCGCCAGGTGGGCGCTGCAGGGCCCCAGTGTGACCACCGCTGCAACCCGTGAGCCCACAAGGACAAGGGCAGAGCAACGTTCGGGAGACACGTGGGAGGCCAAGCCGGAGCAATAAAGAGAGCACTTTTTCTTCCATGTGGTCTGACGTCGGCACCAGCCCCTGGGGGTATCGTTCAGGCAGCACTGGCAGGCCATCCGCCCGCAGCATGGAAGGCAGAGGGAGGGCACGGGGCGGAGCCCTTCACGGCACCTGAACCAGCAGGAAGATTCTGAGAGGTCACTGCTCTCGGGAGACTGCAGGAGACGCCCGGCCCTGCATGCTGTGATCCTCCTGGGCTGGTGGTTTCACTCAAATCCCCAGGCTAACCTGGTGGGCTCTCAGCTCCTACAGAGCCATCCAGGGACAGTCCACTGCCCCCGAGGCACAGAGCCACCAGGCTGGGTCTCCCAGGTGAACCTGATGCAGGTAAGATGTTGGGGATCAAAGCCACAGCATCTGGCCATCTTCCCCGAGCCCCATCACCACCAATGACAGCCCTGCTGCCCTGGACTCCATCAAGATTCAAATAAACATTCTCTTTCCTGTGTCCAAAAGAGTCACCTAAATATTCCTTGAGCTTTCTGGAGCACGAGAACACTTTTAGGGTCTCTTTGAATCTAGGTATCTGGTCAAGGCGATACCCCGCCCTGCCGGATGAAATATAAAAGGAGATAAATGCAAAGCTCCTCACTCTAGGTCCAAGATTTCGACTGCACAGGTTCGGAGTGGGAGACAGGGCTTTGCAACCACTCTCGTGAAAAACATCTGGGGCCGTAAGTGTTCTCAGTTCAACAAATACTGAAGGAGTGAGATGAAGGCACACACACAAAAACCATTGCCAACTTGGGCTGCATTAATGGAAGCATAGAGTTTAGATTGAAGGAGGTAGTAGCAAGTCCTACTTGCACTGGCCAGGCCATGCCAAAAGCACGTGTTCAGGGCTAGACTTACATGCTAACAGCAATAGTGACAACCTAGAGAATACACAGAAGAAGAGACCAGAGTGAGAACATAAAATGATTGAACGCCAGGCGTGGTGGTGCACACCTGTAGCCCCAGCTACTTGGGAGGCTGAGGTGGGAGGACTGCTTGGGCCCAGTAGTTCGATTCCAGCCCGGACAACATAGTGAGACTCTGTTTCTTAAAAAAAAAAAAATTTAAAAATTTAAAATAAATAATGATTGAAGCAATGAGAATTCTTCAATTTGCAGAAGAGAAAAGTGGGGCCTCCGTTAAACTCAGAGATTCTTGGAGGACATTTCCTTAAGTGCTTACGATGGCCCAGGGACAGTCACATACACTATTTGATTCAATTCGCACCGTAGCCTTGAGGTTTATGACTCATCCTCATTTTGCAGATGGAGAAACAGAGGCTCAAAGAGCTTTAGTAACTCACTCAAGTTCATGCAGCAAGTAAGAGGCAGAGCTGCAGTGTGAACCCAAGCCCGGGCAAAGTCTGCCTTGTAGAGCTTGGCCTGTTCAGTCCCTCGCCAGGCAGAGCATCCTTGAGGGAGCTGGAGTTTTTCCCAATGTTTCCTAGACTTTGGGATTTCTCCGAACTACAGAATATTTTTTTAAAACTGAGAGAAAGCCTGGTGTGGGAGTGCATACCTGTAGTCCCAGCTACTTGGGAGGATCACTCGAGCCTAGGAGTTTAGGGCCAGCCTGGCAAAATAGTGAGACCCCCTGCTCTAAAACATTAAATAAATAAAAACTTTTAAAAAGCAAGGGAATAGGGCCTGGCATGGTGGCTCACGCCTGTAATCCTAGCACTCTGGGAGGCCGAGGTGGGCGGATTGCTCGAGATCAGAAGTTGGAAACCAGCCTGAGCAAGAGCGAGACTCCGTCTCTACTATAAATAGAAATAAATTAATTGGCCAACTAATATATATAGAAAAAATTAGCAGGGCATGGTGGCGCATGCCTGTAGTCCCAGCTACTCGGGAGGCTGAGGCAGTAGGGTTGCTTGAGCCCAGGAGTTTGAGGTTGCTGTGAGCTAGGCTGACGCCACGGCACTCACTCTAGCCTGGGCAACAAAGTGAGACTCTGTCTCAAAAGAAAAAAAAGTGAGGGAATGGGGGGGCTGTCAATGCTTTAGTTTCTAATTGAGGACAATAAAAACAAAAATAACTGTCAGCATCACTTTACAGAAGAAACAATAGGTTTTATACCCAAAAAGCAGGAAAATTATCATCGAAAACAAAATGGAGTTTAAAGTGGAATAAAGTAAGCCCTGTAAAAGTCTTACTGCCTGTCCTTTTTCCCCTGATCATTGTGGTCCGATAAAAATTGTATCTTTTGTCCACCTGGATTATTGTTTTGGAAAAAAACTTTTTATCCTTTGGAAACTGCTAGACTAGAGGATCCCTAAGGGTCTTCCTTCTTTCATTTCTGGGGTTTTCCAGCCTTGCTCCCACATCCCAAGTGGCGACTGCTTCGTCCTCTCCCAAAGCAGTTCGCACTGCAGGGATTTTGTGCTTAGGTTCTCAGACACATCTCTTAAGGCATTCTTTCAGACGAATAAAGACTGACATAAAAGTAGGGAATGAGATTTTTTTTAATTGACAAATAAATATTGTATGTATTTATGGTACGCAACATAATCTGCGTCACCTCACATACTTACTTTTTCGATGGTGAGAACACCTAAAGTCTACTGTCTTAGCAGTTTGCGAGTGCACAGTGTGTTGCCATTAACCGTGCAATAGGTCTCCTAAACTGGGACTGCGCTCCTGATGACCACGGCCCTGCCACCCTCAGCGCTCAGCTGTTGGCTCAGCCCCAGCGTCAACGCCATGGCACAGAGCACGCTGACTTCGCTCCGTTTTCCAGACTGTTTTGGCTGTCCCGGCTCCTTGTGTTCCACACCAACTTTAGGATCAGTTTGTCAGCATCTCAAAGAAGCCAGTGGGATTCCGATGGACGGCATGGAATAGATCAGTCTGCAGAGCACTGTGCCTCTTTTTTAGTAATTTATTACTGTTTTTACATTTTATTTATTTATTTTTATTTCAGCATATTATGGGAGTACAAATGTTTAAGTTACATGTATTTGTTTTTACATTTTGTTAGGGAAAAAAACATTGGCCTAAATCCCAACACCCCAAACCATCCACGGTTAGTATTTTGGTGTGTTTCCTGTGAGTCTTTTTTGTGCATGATTCATTTATTTATTTTTTTTAAGATTTTTTTTTATTTCAGCATATTATGGGGGTACAGATTTTAAGGTTTCAATAAATGCCCATTTCCCCCCTCCCCCCACAAGGCTGAGTCTCCAGCATGACCATCCCCCAGATGGTGCACATCTCACTCATTATATAGATTCATTTATTTTTTATTCTGAGCCGTTTTTACTTTCACATGTAATGAGCCTCTTTCCATCACTGCGTGCGTTGCACAGGCGCCCCTTCCAGCCGCTGTGTATGTCTCGGCTGACTTAACAGCCCTCTGTATTTGGTGATGATAGTCACTGCTGACATTTATTCACTGCTTGTTAGGTGTCAAATCCTTGTCACAACTACATGCGGTAGCATCTGCCAGGATCCCTGTTTGACGGATGAGTAAACTAAGACCCAGAAAGCTAGTTTCTGAGGTTTTGATTTCAAGCTCTTCTTTATACCTTATTTTCTTCTAAAAGGAGCCTAGAGCGCACAGATCAGATATTCATTAAACATAAATAAAACACAAAGTTTCAGGATAGAAGCATGAACTAGCTGAGAACAATGAAGTTGCCTCATTTTATGGGAATTACGGGTTCCTATGGCCAGTTCTGGCACTGCCTGGCTGTAATTTTGGTTAAGTCCTCCCTCCCCCAGCCTCGGTTCTCTCATCTGTACAAAGGGAGCATGACAGAGCCCACTTCACAGTGTTGTGGCAAGGATTACATGAGATAATTACATGAAGTCTTATGCACAGACTCTGGCACATAGTAGATGCTCAATAAATAGGAGCTACTGGATTAGAGCAGGGACACAAATCAGTTGCTGTTAGGGTCAGGCAGGTAAAGTCAGTTAGATGTAGAAAAATGGGGAGCGGACAGAAGGGAACGAAGAGCCTGCACCTGACCAAAGGGAGCAGCTGCTGTCCAGCAGTGCCAGGCAGGAATGCCCGCTGAGTGGTACCGTCAGCCAGGAAAGCAGAAACCACACCTGGTGTTTTAACAGAGAGAATTTAAGAGAGGGGATGTGTTAAACAGGTGTCGGGAGACTGACAAGGCAAAAGGGACCACTGAAGTATCACAGGGCATAACCGAGGCAACCGCCTAGGGCTGGAGGAACAAAATAAAGAGGCTGGCGTTTGTTAGAGCCGTGAAGCTCGGGAGAGTGCCCGTGGAGCCGGGCACAGACCTCTAAGGAGGCCTGCCTGGCTGGGGCTGGTGTCTCTGAGGGGCTGAGGTGGCTGTGAGCGTAGGGCCAGTGATGTCACGCCTTCACTTTCTCAGCAGAAGCCCTGAATCCAGAGTTTTAAAAATTGTTGGCAACTAATTTTTTTTTAAATTTCAACTCTGTTATGGAAAACAGTATGGTAGTTCCTCAAAAAATTAAAAATAGAATTACCCTGTGATCCAGCAATTCTGCTTCTGGGCATACACCCAAAAGGGGCCTGACGAGATCCTTGCACACCCACGCTCAGAGCTGTGTTATTCCCAACAGCTACAACGCGGAAGCAGCCCAGGCGTCCACCAGCGGGTAGGTGGGTAAACAAAAGGAGGTGTCTATATACAGTGGGATACTATCCTCCATGAAAACGGACACTGGGCACCACGTGGATGAACCTTAAGTGAAATAAGCCAGTCACAAAAGGACAAATACTGTTCTGATTCCACTTATATGAGATCCCTAGGGTAGTCAAACTCATAGAGACAAAAAGTAGAAATGGTGGGTGCCAGGGGCTGGGTGCGGGGAGACCAGGGAGTGAGTGTTTCATGGGGACAGAGTGCCAACTGGGGAGGATGAAAGAGCTCTGGAGAAGGACAGCGATGGCTGCACAACAATGTGAATGGGCTTAATGCCACTTAAAAATGGTTAAGGTGGCAAATTTTGTTGTGTGTATTTTCCCACCATTTTTTTTTAATTTTACATTATTAGTGGTCAATTAAAACTAGATCAGGCCGCAGGCCATAGCTTACAGTCTCTTCACTGGAGGCTGTTCATCGTGTTAAGCTGCAGACAGGAGCTAGGAGTGGTACATACAGAGTGGGAGAGAAACCAGAGGAAGAACGAGGACACAATCACTTCTGTTCTGCTTTGCAGTTTTTGGTGGCCTGACTGCATTGCGGGACAAGCTGTAGCCAGTTCTGCTGCTGGTGCCCGTGGCCTCTGTGGGCTCCAGTTGTCAAAGGAGGGGTTCAGGTGAGCTAGGCTGTAGGAGCCCCACTCTCCGCTGAGGCTCTGTCTGCCCTTGGTGCCACCTCCCTGGGGCCCGGCCCCCAGCGCTGCCCCGGGCCTCTCTCCTGGCTCCCCTGCCCAGTGCTAGCTGGGGTCTGGTTACACCTCAGGCATCAAGTGGATTCCTGGAGCCCCAATCCAATGTATGGTCTAAAAATAA